TTCTGGTATATCGTTTTTAGATGAGTATCCGGATTCGCCGGCTTGCAAAGCTTATCTGAATATAATCACAGGTAGGAGGACATTGACTCTTTGATAAAAGTTTATAACTTTACGAAAAAAAAAAAAAAAGGCCAACAATTCTCCACTTGACTTTACAGAAATCAAGCAAAAATTTAAGGTTGAGACAGACTCAAGCAATGCAAGTTGATTATGTATAACAGTAATATTTAATTTATCACACATCTACGCCCAGACTTAAAATCATCTCTTTGTAAAATTGAACAATTATTATATCATTATTTTCATCATAATCCATATAATTTTATAATATCCAAATAACTAACTTCGAATTCATCGTTGACCTTAACAAAAATAATCATAATGTCGGTCAGTCAAATATCAGTTTTCATGAGAGCGAAGAAAGACTGTAAGCATTGCTTTTATTCATTGTGAATTAAAGAAAAGATGCGTATGCGGAGAGGACTATGTTTGAAATTTGATAAATCTCTAAATGATCGTCGATACTCTAATATTTGTTGTTATTGAAATTACAATCGCTTAGTCTAACGAGAGGAAAAAATTCGACAAATAATGTCACGTGACAGTAGATTAAGTAATTATTGCCGAAATTCTATATATATAATTTTTTTTTCTCAAATTTTTATACCAAGAAAAAAAAAAAATTGTTGCGATCGTTTGCTTCCGTGAATATTGTTTCACGGAAGGATTAAAAAGAAAAATGTTTAACGTTCAAAAATTTACAAGAAAAAAATTAGAATGTATATATGTATAATATATATACAGAAAGATATTAGAGTCGAATTAAGTTTTATCCAATCGGAATCTACCAAACCTCCACCCTCAACTTATCCACACCACCTTTTCGGTCCTTATTCTTGGTGTTACCATTCTTATATTTCATGGATTTCTTCAACATTTTGTATTTCGTGAATTCCGGATCCCGGTTGGTGTCTCCTTTCACCAAATTTGTATCCATCTCGACTGGACTAACCAACTGGTTAAGCAGTCGTTGATTGGACAGCTTGTGCACGCGATCATTATGTCGACGAGACAATGACCTACTAGAATTCACGGGATCAGGATCGGAAGGTGGTGGCGAAGGATGTATACAACTTGGCGAGGATGTAGACTGGTTCACTTCGTGATCATCATCTAATAGGTTTTTATCGTTCGTTGGCTTTGCTGGTTTTCCCAGGAGCACCCCTTTTGGTACATTTTCCTTTTCCTTCTCTTCTGGCACCTCTTTGGCTACATCGTCGTCGACGTTAATATTGATTGACTTTTTTTTCTTATGTTGATTGCCCCATTTTGTGGCTGCGGCGTAGGTAGGAAATTTGTGAGCCTGTACCAATTGGTACTCTAAATCTTCGGCATCATCAGGGTTCAGGTGGCGAACGGTGTGCACGGTGATTCTTTGAGTCAAATCCATATCCATATCCTCTTCAATGTCCCAGGCACTGATTTCTTCCCAATTTTCGTTGGCCATTGTTATCTTCCTTGGAGAATTACGATAGTATTCGGGGTTTTGATGACTTTTAAGATAGAAATAAAAAGAGAAAAGTAGCAAAAGATTCTATTAATTAATTAACGGGTTTTTTTTTAAGGGTGAAGTAAGTGATGGTGTACGTGTGTCCTTTATCGCAGAGGATGGTTTTTACGATGGAAAGAGAAGGAGGGGTAGAATTCCGTGTCTTTATATACAATATTTGCATTACATTACGACAATATGTACAGCACATTCGATAGATTTTTTATTACCTATAAATTTCCATTTATTCTACTAATGAATATTATAATCGCCAATAGAATAATAAATACGTCAGTATAATTTATATAGATAGATAAAGTACGGAGTTCAATGTTATTTAAATAACGTACATACATCATAGACACAATTGTTCGCATGACCAAAACTAACTATGTACAAGTTCATGCGGTTAGTTATTACATTCACTATCGTTATGTTACTACTTGTCGACATGCGCTGTTTGGGTGAACGTGCGAAATGATTTGTTGGAACGTTGTTACAAAGACAGACTCCGCAGTGAATAAGGGTTCACATATTGCGCACGTTCATATCTCATTACCGAGATAATGAAATGAGAATATCCCATTCGGTTGCGTTAATATATCCATTAATGTCGTCTTTTTTTTACGAGTTTCGACCACCCGTGGATTTTCCTTGAAATTCTCATTAACCCCTTTGAACCTGTGATGGTGTTAAGTAATGTAAGAAGCAAGGCTAATCTAAATATATCGATTTCAAACGACATTAATTATCCAAGCCTGGATGATAATAAATATAATTCCGTCGTTAATCTCCTACAGTTTAAAATTAGTGCTATACGTTCAATTTGCACAAACATTGTGAAGTGTGGGAAACATGTCACGGGTCCGGTACATGCACATACAGAATGGGGCGAATGCCGAAAAGTGATGTCATTTTTCCAAGAAATTTCCCGTTGTTGTCTATTAAGGAAGGTAAGTACTGACGGCATCCTCAGTAGCCTTGGAAGAGTAAGACTCTGGAATAGAGAAATTTCGACACAATCACCTTACACAAACTGATCCTTTATACAGTAACGCGCTCGGTGACCAAGAATTGACCGTGTGCATATAGTGTGTCACCATCTATAATGAAAAAACGCTTGGGTGCGTTGTAAAATAGTTTTTCACCCAAAATAAATACTAATTAAGGCTTATGCTTATTTTAGGTCCAACGTCACACGATTTATTTTCAAATTCATGATTTTTCCACCGAATCCACATTCCACCCGGTTGTGTCAGAAAGTACTATTATTGTGCTATATGTTTACGGAGTTACAATAAGTAAACGTCGCGAAAATGTCGTTCCCGACTGCGGAACGTATTCCAAAATTGTGGTTATCCATGAGTTGATAAGAATAATATAATAAATAATACGAATCTAACGTTGCATCAATCTAATCAAAATTCAATGCCATTAATGATAACCATTTCTCTTATTGGCGATGACCAAACAAACGTTACCTGCCATGATCACAGATGCGATTTCCATCAATGTTTCGTATTTTTGTTTTTTTACCTAATACCGGCGATGCGATGCTTGCTGCGCGCGAGAGACCAACGATTCGAGCTACGTCAAATACATTGCATCAACAATCAACCTTTCAGCAACGGTGTGTAACATGCGCCGCGTTCTGCGGCTATGCGCAATTTTTTAACGCAGCACAATTACCGCACGGCTTTTGAAATATCCTTTCGGAAGGAATATCCACAGAAAATATGCACTTTACGGGAATCCGCTGTGGCACGTGATCTCAAAGACAATCTCCCAAAGTTATAAAAAGCTATAAAACGACATTTTTGAATTTTTCGCGTCATTCTCGGGTGAGCTTTTTTTCCATCATCGGGATTCACACCAAACATCACTTTATTTAGTCTAGACCACATCCGCCGATTTGCTAGTCTTACCCACAGGGAGAAGAGATAATGTGATGATAGAAAAGCGCACGCAGGAGCGTTACAAAGACCACCCCTTTAATTAATTAAAGTATTACGCGTGACAGATTGTATCGTCAAGATTGTCACCAATAAACACCCGACGCTTATTTTCCTTCCCGTTTTTGTATAATTTTGGGGAGACACACATCATGCCAAATAAAAGTCATGAGAGTGATACGAGGTGATGGCTGTGTTAGAAAACCATGATAGCTCAGATAGTACGACTCTTTTTTAATTCTTTTGCTTCTGCGATAAAGCATAAAAAATTCTCGTGCAAGTCTCGCGAAATTTGGGTTTATCGATGTAGATTGGCGCTTGCTCTTTCCAAAAACGTACCCTTACCGGAAAATTCGATACGTAAAGCTTTACATGACCTACAAGTTCTGCATCATTCTAATGTTCGCGTGCAAGAACACCATGTCTCAGATTAGGGCGAGACTCGTGCAAGCAATGTCAGCTGTTCAAATGTGAGTTAACAATCACCTATCGCAAACAAACGATATCCTTAAAATGGCAAATGGGGCTTGCCCTTTCGGTAAATCCTTTATCTTTTGACAAGATGGTCCCGTGCACCAACTTATATTTCTGGTATGATATTGTGATATTGTCATATTGTACCATTTCCTTTTTTCTTTTTCCAATTCACAAAGAAAACGTTGCGCGTTCTTGTTCGATATTAATTTTAATTGTGCCTCAATGATGGTAGACAACAATTTTTAATTTTCTCCCTCCAATTTCTAATTATCTCTAGGTGACTCATCATTTGACATACCGAGAAATTCCGATGACAACAATTGGTTTTTAACTTCATGTTATTATCATGTTATTGTGTTTAGTGGTTTGCTTGCACGCGAGGTGGTGCTACCTTTTTTCATTTTTGTCAGAGCCCCAATTCATGACTCATCATCGAATTCTTTGTTCATTAACATGTTTTTCTAATTTAACGACAATAAGAGTGCAAAATACCAGATTTAAGTAACAAAAAATGCACAAACGACACAGTTGTCGCCTAATTTATAAAGGATTTTCGGTTCGCTGCACTTCGTGCAACCTTCAAACAGCATGGAATCAACGCTTAAGAACTCAATGAGCACCATGTCCAATCATATCGCTTTCTCGATGCATTTCCAACATAACAGGGAATTATAATGAATCAAGAATTTTCTGGTAAATGAGTATACAAAACGGTTGGTAAAAAAAGAGAAACAAACAACACTTTGATAATTAACCACGTGCGTTCAGCGAACATGGCCATACTTCGTGGTAGGAATTATGACCAAAATCCTCTCGATCATCCAATCGTTACATCGACTACTACATCTTGGTTCATCCTCACGTGAGTCCTGACAAGTATAAAACACAAATATATGATGTTAATATTCACAAGTTCCGCTGCCTCGGAAAAATTTTTTTTTGGGAAAATTGCGATTGGACTGTCAGGGTTAAAAAGCTCATTTTGTTATTTTCATTCGCTTTTGGCGTCGTTTGAAGAAATTCAATTTTTCAAAAGCATCATTCAGTCCATTTATGGTTTTTTTTAAAAGACCCCCTTCTTTTCCCGTTTGATCTTTAAAAAGGTAAACTGAACCTACCGATCTTGTTCACTCATCGATCCCATTTTAAAGAGGCGTCGTTTTATAAAGATCGCACGAAAGCCTATTCCTTGTCAAATACAACGAGCAAAAAAACATTGGTCCCCATTATTTCCCCCTTCTATGAAAACAGTCCTCGATCGGTGAAAGAAAAAAATTTTTTTTTTTTTTTCTGGATGATCAGATTATTTATATATTGATCAGACGTTGTACAAGATTGATCTAAAACCGTATTTCAAAAAAAAATCTCTATTAATTTATATAATAAAAATTAAAAAACTATATTAATAATTATATTAATAATTATATTAAATCATTTGTATTTAATTAAAATAAACAATTACATAAGAATAAATAAATAAATTAATTAATGTGCAATATTAAATATTAAATTGACATTAAAATAAGGTGTTTTAAATTTTGTAAGTAAATAAGCTTTATATAATCATATCAAATCAATTTTGATTTAACTATATGTTAATGGTGAAAATATCAACATGTGATTAAATTTATAAATTTTATAAATGAAAATCAGAAATAAAATGAATTAATACAATAATAAGATAAAACAAAAATAATGCATAATTCATGTTTCATGTTAAACAAAAAAAAATAGATTGATGTTTATTGATTTTGATTTTTGTTTAAGAATCAGAGTTCTAGAGATAATTTTAATCTATAAGTTTATACAAAAACTAAGCATTATGAAATAAATAAATTCAATCAATATTAATAAACCAACTTGATTACATGTATGCAATATGTAAAAAAAATTTTTATGTTAAATGGTTCTTTTGTAAACGATATAAGCTTATATTACATAAATCAAAATTTGGTTAGGTATTATTAAAAGATATTAAAAGATATATACAACATATAGAGTACTCTGTAGATCAAATTTTATGTTTCCAAGAAATGCAACTAGAATTGGTATTAACTCACTGGAGAAATTAATTCAAAGATATTAACAGCAAACATCTATTTCTCTTACATAATAACCATTTCTGATAGAAAAATTAATGATATTGGTTGTATTATAATCGTCCAAAGTTCTCCAGGATATTAAAACTGGCGATATGAATTGATATAAACTGGTCAGCCATCAATTTACGATCACACCTTAGTACAATGAACGTGTAGAGATATGCGGAAATAGATTAATCTTAACATTAAAAATACTACATAATCAACTACGAATAAATGACGGATCGGTATCCCTACTTTCAAACCATTTTATTTTTGTTGTCGACGCATTCGGGCCATAGTTTGCTTTATATGCTTGTATGGGTCATCTGCTCGCTTGCGATTTTGTATAATCCTTACTTCAGGCATTACGTCATAATCAAACGATGCTGCTTGTGGAATACGAGCACGAGTTGACGATGATGCTGTTTGGTGTGATCGATCTTCTGAGATACTGGAAAAATGAGTGTAGAATAATGAATATGAACTCGCATAATTCAAAATTGAATAAATTCTTCATATTTTAATTTGTATACATACGCATTATTAGATGCTGCTGTTGCGTGTGCTTCTGCCATCCTATAAGTTGCAAAAGGTCATCAGATATTTCATGTACGAATTTTTTGAATTAGTGTCACAAGCATCAATAAATTATAATACAATACGTTTCGGGATGGAATTCAACTCGTTTGAAATTCTTATCTTTGTAGTTTGTGCTAATGTTATAGATTTTTCTTGTCCATTTTCTGACCAATTCTGAAGCGAGTCGTTTGATACGTTCGTCACTTCGTGGAGAATCTTGATAGAAAAAAACAATTCTTCCGACTTTACTGGACAAAAGATGTTCAGTGGTAATCGGAAGCTTTGATGTCACAGAAAAGGTTTCAGTAAAAATCTTCAAAAAACTAAAAACACTGACGATTGTACCTTATTTAAGACCTTGAACATTTGTTCTATAATTGTGATATTTGGTAGCGATCTATCGGGAAGTGGTTCTAGCCAATACCTAATTGC